CTGTGGATGTTTGGAGCCTGAAGGTCTGAACAGCTGCTGCAGAGATGTTCTCACTCTGGAGTCTGGAGGTATTTAAATCATTTAACAGTTTAAAGTGATTTTATAACTAATTTAACCCAAGTTAGACTGGTTTAACCTGAGTTAAAGTGAGTTAGACTGGGTTAAAGTGAGTTAGACTGGTTTAACCTGAGTTAAAGTGAGTTAGACTGGGTTAACCTGAGTTAAAGTGAGTTAGACTGGGTTAAAGTGAGTTAGACTGGGTTAAGGTGAGTTAGACTGGGTTAAAGTGAGTTAGACTGGGTTAAAGTGAGTTAGTCTGGGTTAAAGTGAGTTAGTCTGGGTTAAAGTGAGTTAGACTGGGTTAAAGTGAGTTAGTCTGGGTTAAAGTGAGTTAACCTGTGTTAAACTGGGTCAGACTGGGTTAAAATTGGGCTGTGTTTGTGAGTTTGAAGCTGCAGAGGCTCTCAGGTGAGTTACCTGTGTGAGGTCATCAGGTTGGAGCAGTTTGTGGTTCAGAGTCTGATTCTGCTCCGATCTCACATCCATTAATGTCCAAATCCCGCTCTTATGGTGTGTTCCATTTAGCTCGGCACTCGGATCTTGAGCTAACCGCGTTCTATTTGCCAAGTCGGACAAGCAACATGGACGCCTCCAGCTGTACCTTTGTTTTGTTCGCTAACACCTGACAACATGTCCACAGATATGTTTATTCATTTTTAACCCCAGAATCTTTAGCATTATTTATTGATAATCTGTCGCACATCGTTTGTTATGGCTTCACTCTGGACTTTTTGAATGCACTTTGGATGTTGATATGTTATACGTGTGTGTGTGCATTGTTTTTGTTCTTCATGCAGGCTGTGTCAGACTGATGCTTTCTATACGACTGAACTTAGTTGAATTTGAATTTAATTGATTTAATGACACAATAAGAGAATTCAGCTGCTCGTCAAAACAGCTTAAACATCATTGTTGATGCACGTAGCGGCCATGTTGGACTCGGGCTACTGAAGTTGCGCCGAGTTTAGGAGTGGGAATTCTGATGGGTTGTTCCTGATGACATTTCAAACCGGTAACTCGGAAATTCTGACTTCATGAAATCAAATGGCTCACACAACTAAGCCACAACTAAACTCAGACAACCCGAGCAAACCCACAGTGCCCCCTGTACTTCAAAGAGCTTATTGAAGGCGGCATTAGATACATTACACAGCTTACCTCCGGCTTTAACGTGTAACACACCGATGGTCGGGTGGTGCGGAGAAAGAAGACGGTTTCAAAATCTCTATGTTTGGTTTGAGGAGCTACACACAGTCACACACACACACACACACACACAGTCACACACACACACACATACACACACACACACACACACACACACACACACACACACACACACACACACACACACACACACACACACACACTGTAACTCTGTTGAATATTTAAACTCTGTATTTGCATCTCTTTGTCTGCAGCTGCAGCCCTACATCCCCCATGGTGTGTGTGTGTGTGTGTGTGTGTGTGTTTTTGTGTGCATGTGTGTGTGGGTGATCTTCAACTCTTTGTCGAAGACTATGAGCTGGTTACCATGACAATGATCTGACGTTAATGTAAGGACTGAAGCTGAACACGACAGTGGGGGGAAGGTGGGGAATGACACCCAACCCCCCTTTAAACAATCGATCACTCAATCACTCTTCATTTGTACAGCACTAATTCATGACAAATGTTTCCTGCAGACACTTTGCATAAACAACAGGTCCAGACCTAAGTCTTGGATCAGAACCAGACTCTTGTTGAACAGACAGATGTTGCGAGCAGAACCAGATTCATGCTTTGGATTAGAAAGTCCAAGACAGTCCCTAAGACAAAAATGTTCATAAGCAAAACACTCACAAGATCCACGATGTTACCACGTGGTCCAAGGAAAAGTTAGTAAACGCTGTTCACAAGACAGATTAATTAAAAGTCCACATAAAAAGACCACAGGAGCTCAATGTCCCCTGTCAGTCTAAGCCTATAGCAGCATAACTAGAAGCTGGTCTAAGCCTGGGCCTGCCCTAATTATAAGCTCTACCAAAAAAGGAACCCTTTAAGTCTATTCTTAAAAGTACAAAGGGGGGGCTGGCCTCCTGGACCCTGACTGGTAGATGATTCCAAAGAAGAGGGACCTGATAATTGAAGGCTCTACCTCCCATAGTACATTTAGAGGCTGTAGGTACCACGAGCAGGCCTGATAACTGAAGGCTCTACCTCCCATAGTACATTTAGAGACCGTAGGTACCACGAGCAGGCCTGATAACTGAAGGCTCTACCTCCCATAGTACATTTAAAGACTGTACCACGAGCAGGCCTGATAACTGAAGGCTCTACCTCTCATAGTACATTTAAAGACTGTACCACGAGCAGGCCTGATAACTGAAGGCTCTACCTCCCATAGTACATTTAGAGACCGTAGGTACCACAAGCAGGCCTGATAACTGAAGGCTCTACCTCCCATAGTACATTTAGAGACCGTAGGTACCACGAGCAGGCCTGATAACTGAAGGCTCTATCTCCCATAGTACATTTAGAGACCGTAGGTACCACGAGCAGGCCTGGTAACTGAAGGCTCTACCTCCCATAGTACATTTAGAGACCGTAGATACCACAAGCAGGCCTGGTAACTGAAGGCTCTACCTCCCATAGTACATTTAGAGACCGTAGATACCACAAGCAGGCCTGATAACTGAAGGCTCTACCTCCCATAGTACATTTAGAGACTGTACCACGAGCAGGCCTGATAACTGAAGGCTCTACCTCCCATAGTACATTTAGAGACCGTAGGTACCACAAGCAGGCCTGGTAACTGAAGGCTCTACCTCCCATAGTACATTTAGAGACCGTAGATACCACGAGCAGGCCTGGTAACTGAAGGCTCTACCTCCCATAGTACATTTAGAGACCGTAGATACCACGAGCAGGCCTGGTAACTGAAGGCTCTACCTCCCATAGTACATTTAGAGACCGTAGATACCACAAGCAGGCCTGGTAACTGAAGGCTCTACCTCCCATAGTACATTTAGAGACTGTACCACGAGCAGGCCTGATAACTGAAGGCTCTACCTCCCATAGTACATTTAGAGACCGTAGGTACCACAAGCAGGCCTGATAACTGAAGGCTCTACCTCCCATAGTACATTTAGAGACTGTAGGTACCACGAGCAGGCCTGATAACTGAAGGCTCTACCTCCCATAGTACATTTAGAGACCGTAGGTACCACAAGCAGGCCTGATAACTGAAGGCTCTATCTCCCATAGTACATTTAGAGACCGTAGGTACCACGAGCAGGCCTGGTAACTGAAGGCTCTACCTCCCATAGTACATTTAGAGACCGTAGATACCACAAGCAGGCCTGGTAACTGAAGGCTCTACCTCCCATAGTACATTTAGAGACCGTAGATACCACAAGCAGGCCTGATAACTGAAGGCTCTACCTCCCATAGTACATTTAGAGACTGTACCACGAGCAGGCCTGATAACTGAAGGCTCTACCTCCCATAGTACATTTAGAGACCGTAGGTACCACAAGCAGGCCTGATAACTGAAGGCTCTACCTCCCATAGTACATTTAGAGACCGTAGATACCACGAGCAGGCCTGGTAACTGAAGGCTCTACCTCCCATAGTACATTTAGAGACCGTAGATACCACGAGCAGGCCTGGTAACTGAAGGCTCTACCTCCCATAGTACATTTAGAGACCGTAGATACCACGAGCAGGCCTGGTAACTGAAGGCTCTACCTCCCATAGTACATTTAGAGACCGTAGATACCACAAGCAGGCCTGGTAACTGAAGGCTCTACCTCCCATAGTACATTTAGAGACTGTACCACGAGCAGGCCTGATAACTGAAGGCTCTACCTCCCATAGTACATTTAGAGACCGTAGGTACCACAAGCAGGCCTGATAACTGAAGGCTCTACCTCCCATAGTACATTTAGAGACTGTAGGTACCACGAGCAGGCCTGATAACTGAAGGCTCTACCTCCCATAGTACATTTAGAGACCGTAGATACCACGAGCAGGCTTGATAACTGAAGGCTCTACCGCCCATAGTACATTTAAAGACTGTACCACGAGCAGGCCTGATAACTGAAGGCTCTACCTCCCATAGTACATTTAAAGACCGTACCACGAGCAGGCCTGATAACTGAAGGCTCTACCTCCCATAGTACATTTAGAGACCGTAGGTACCACGAGCAGGTCTGATAACTGAAGGCTCTACCTCCCATAGTACATTTAGAGACTGTAGGTACCCCGAGCAGGCCTGATAACTGAAGGCTCTACCTCTCATAGTACATTTAGAGACTGTAGGTACCCCGAGCAGGCCTGATAACTGAAGGCTCTACCTCCCATAGTACATTTAGAGGCAGTAGGTACCACGAGCAGGCCTGATAACTGAAGGCTCTACCTCCCGTAGTACATTTAGAGACTGTACCACGAGCAGGCCTGATAACTGAAGGCTCTACCTCCCATAGTACATTTAGAGACTGTAGGTACCCCGAGCAGGCCTGCATTCTGGTAGCATAACGTTCTTGAAGGGTAGTACGGCACTATTATCTCTTTAAGATAAGATGATGCCTGGCCATTTAGAGCTTTGTAAGTGAGAAGAAGGATTTTAAATTATATTTTAGGTTTTATTGGGAGCCAGTGCGGAGCTTTTCTTAGTTCTAGTCAGTACACAAGCTGCAGCTTTTTGGACCAGTTGAAGAGTCTTTAGAGGCTTTTCAGGGCAGCCTGATAAAAGAGAATAATAACCCAACCTGAAGGCAACAAATGCATGAACTAGTTTTCTTTATCGTTTGGAGATAGGATGCCTTGCTCTGTGTGCAGATATGAGTTCTCTATGTGCAGGTAGCTGTCTTCTTCTGTGGTTTTACAGGTTATGAATAAAGGCAAGGGGAAGTTTAAATACAGGGACGTGCCTCTGTCTGAGTTTTCATCACAGTACATGTACAGTCAGTTCTCTTTCTGTGTGGGAGCCCTGGGGATGACATCACTCCTCTCTCACCGGTTTCCGGGTTTTCATCGCTCATTTCCCGTTTCCTCTATCCTGTTGGGCAGCACTTCCTGTTCTCAGGGTCAAAGGTCACCAGTATTTTGTGTGGTGTACTTATATAACAGACATCGTTCAGATCATTGTGGGGTTTTTTTGTAATAAAAGCTTAGGAGCGTCTCCTGTAGCAGCTGATACTCTGCAGCCAATCACAGAGCAGGGGTCTGTGTTTACTGACTCGCAGAGATCACAGATAAAGTTCCTTTTTGAAGATATCACACTGTTGTGTCTGCAGAAAGACCTCTGTGTGTGTGTGTGTGTGTGTGTGTGTGTGTGTGTGTGTGTGTGTGTGTGTGTGTGTGTGTGTGTGTGTGTGTGTGTGTGTGTGTGTGTGTGTGTGTGTGTGTGTGTGTGTGTGTTGAGATAGACGTGTCTGAACTCGTCGTTCTTTCTAAGTTTTTCCTCAGACAGCAGATCTTGAGCGGGGAACAACCGACAAGACAATCAGGCTGATTTTTTGGTCTGACTATCTCCTTCAGACAAATCTAATCAAAGTCCAGGTGTGTTGATGGTTCTGAAGATGATCTCGTCAAATGTTCCTGTGGTGTAAGGTGCGTTAAGAATGAAGTCGGGGGCCACAAGGATTTCAAATCATACGAGAATGAAATGTGAACAAAACGATGGCGAGATGTGAAGCGAGCTGACCGAAGAAGGAAGAACAACAACTGCAGCAAATAGATTTTTACCTCCTCCAGCTCGCTCTGTGACATGTACTGAATATGTTTACACCGTCTTCAGGTCTTTAGCCAAAGGTAAAAGAAGTCCAATGCAATCACCAATTCTTCCTGTCCGTCGTCCTCCACGTTTGTTACAGTTTATGTCATGTTTGAGGGTGAGATATTTCCAGCGTCTCTGGTTGTTGTTGATGAATCTGTCAGTGTGTGATGTGCGGTTTTGGTCATATCGTTGCTCTCCAGTGACGTCCAGAAAGATGGACAACATGCCCCTATCTCCTCCGGTTGTGCTGAAGTGAAGCCTAAATACCCTTTGATGGGTGCTGACATATTGAATGTTTAGAGCCAGAGTCTGTGGAGTAGAGATTAGTATTTAAGCCCTGCCCCTTCCTCTAACCAAAACACACCTTTAACTTTCTAATAAAAGGTTGAGGTTGGTACGGATTCTTTTCGGTTTGAAGCAGACACAAATTACACAAACTACAGTATGTATGAGAAACAATTATTTAAAGTGTGTTTTGATTTTATAGGCTAAACTTTGGAATCTTATCATGTTGTTGTGGTGACTTCTGATTGGCTCTCAATCTGTTTTATCTTCTTTAGGTCTGACGCTCTGAAGACTGCCCAACTCCCTCTGCAGGCTGGCCGAGGAACTGTTCTACCAGCTGGTATTAGCTAACTGCTAACAGCTAGTACCTTACAGCTACATGCTGCCAGCTTACTACTAGTGGTTAGCAGCTAAAGGCTAAACGCTAACAGCAGTTCTGTGGTTGGTGTTGAGATGCTGGATAACCACAGGCGGGAACGACTGGAGCTCTTATGAACACAGGTACAAGGTGAGGTGATTGATTGATTTGTGTAGAAACGATGACGACATGTGTTGTTGTTGTTGTTGATTTTATCAGACTGAGTCAAATTTCTGTTTTCTAAGAAGCTTAATTAGATGTTTATGTTCAGTTTATAAATGAGACGAGATTGGGTTGTCAGCACTAACTAGTTAATCCTGATAACTCTCCTGCTCTTTTGTCCCTTCAGGCTCTCCGTAGATACTCGTCCTCAGTGTCTCCCTGTAGTCTCACTGCTGCATCTCTGAATGTCTCATTTCACTTTAACAAACTCTCAGACAGTAATATCCACCTGATGACATCACACATTGACCTTATGACATCACACAGTGACCTTATGACATCACACACTGACCTTATGACATCACACATTGACCTTTGTTACCGTTCCTTTGAGCTGTTTGACGTCACTTTGGGGTCCCTAACCACTTCCTGTTTCTGTGTTTAACTTCCTGTCCCTGTAACCTTCCATCTACCAGAAGGGCCTTACTGTATTTCAAAATAAAAGCACACAGCAAATAGAGTATTCTCAGCTTAAGGCAGTACACAATTTCAAAATAAAAGCCGAACTGTTTTTATTTTTAAATGTGAAATAATGGACATGCGATTGAATGTGAGAGTTTTAGATGAGGATGAAGTTAGATTTGAATTTGTGTTCACAGTTGAGAGAGCGAGTGTGGGAGTCAATCAGAAGACAGTGGGCTCACATGGGAAACAAAAGCCATGGAGGTCAAAGGTCAACTCATCTCACCTGGTGAGAACCAACCGCACTTAAACCTCCATAAGCCCCACCCCCTCAGTTACTGTGGCTTAGAAACATGGCGGAACTTCTCTCCATCATCAAATGGCGAGGAGAAAAGTTCACTACAGAGACATG